GCTGAGTGCCATACAGTGGAAAGGCAAGCTTGTGAAAGCATCGTGGTGCATCCTCATCCACCTTAGTCACTACGTCTGGCACTGTGTGGCTTCTGGCTCTTCCCCAAGGTCAACGTGACCATGAAAGGGAAGTGCTTTGAATTGATTCAGGACATCATAGCTTGAGCTGTGAGCTATGACAGCACAACCAAAGACATACAGGAAAGAGAACTCCAGAACCACTTCAGAAGGTGTCAAGGACAATGGGATAGGCATGTTGGACGTGAGAGGGAGGAGTTTGAGGGGAATTGTGTCAATGTGTCTTTCACTGTAACATATTTTAAAAATTTAAACATTCACTGTATCTTTCGATCATACCAAATTATTTTGATCTAATCATCTTCAGGCTGCACTTCGAGGGTGGGGTGGGTCAGGTGAGACCTATGGCTGCCTCACCAGCTGGTCCAGCCTGAAGGGCACCTGTGTGGATTTTGGTCCCTCCAGACCCCGACTCAGCTGCAAGTTGAGCAGTGACCCAGGTTTGCAGACTCCAAAGCTTCTGGGCCTGGGGACCCACTGGACGCCTGCATTCTGACCTCAGGACAGGTGTGGAAGGCAGTGCTGCTGCCTCATCTCCCCCGCCGCCCCAGAACACCTACCTGGGCCCCACTGCTGTCTCAGCGCAAAATCCACCCTGTAAGCAGGGCGGGCCTGAGCTCCCAGCAGGCAGGCAGGCACACAGCTGCTCTTGCATGAAGAGTCCTAGAGGCAGCAAGACAGCTGCACACAGTGTGGCACGCAGGACCTGCCTGGCACATGTCACCCACAAGGACAAGCACGGAGGACAGCCAAGGTCAGGGTCTGCAGGGTCAGCTGGGCACAAGAGGAGAAACACACTTTCTGGTGGCCTCAGCCCCAGGTCCCCAGCCCTGCTCCCGGGCAGCGTTATGGGCTGGGGCAGGCAGGGCTGGGGAGACACTGACCCTGCCTGAGACCCTCTTTAGTTACTATAGTGTGGGGAAGCCCTGGTGTAGGGGGCAACCAAGGTCCTGTGGAAGAGCAGCTCCTAATACTGACACTGAAGTATGTTCAATGACATGATGAATGTGTGGGGGAGTGCTGTTAACCCTGAGGAGTGAAGGACATCTTGGCTCTGGTAGATAGCTGGGAACATCTTTTTTCTTTTTCTTTTCTTTCTTTTCTTTTTTTTTTTGTTTTTTTGTTTTTTTGAGACAGGGTCTCACTATGTAGTCCAGCCTGGCCTTGAACTCACTATGTAGCTCAGGCTGGCCTCAGACTTGTGATCCTCCTGCCTGGGCCTCCTGAGTGCTGAGATTATAGGCGTGCACCACCACGCCCAGCTCATATCTGCCTTCTGAGGCGTTGAAAGAGGGCAGAAGGCAGGACAGACAGCAGGAGGCTCTGCTTTGTTGTGGCACATCTGGGAGCCTCTCTGACCCACTGCCCACACATGGATGTCACTGAAGGGTGCCAAGGGCTGCCCTGGACCTGGTCACATGTGTCAGCACCCCACGATCACTCAGCACGGTGGCAAGGCTGAACACACACTGGCACCTGAACCAGGCTCATTCCACCTGGGAAAGCGTCCTTCCTCTTCCCTTGACAGCTGGTCTCACATTAGCCCTAAAGGGAAGGGGGCAGAGAATCCCAGGCTGTGAGCCTACAGGGCTGCCCCAGCCCAGGAAGTCTTGTGGAGGGAGGTGGGAAGTCTTCAGGCTCCTGCTGGACTCTGGAATTTAGGGACCACTTCCTGCTTCCCATAAACACTCCCACAGGGGTTCCCGGCTTGGGGACTCTGCTGGACTCTGGGGAGGCCTAGGAGCTCCCCGGAGTGGAGGGAAGAGCTTCCTAAGGGACCACGGTCCGGAGGTCATCAGGGAGGTCTGTGAGAAGGCCTCAGCCCTTTGCATGTGCTGTCATCTGCTTTTACAGATGGGATCTAAGGTCCAGAGCAGATAAGAGACCAGCTGAGGGCCACACTCCAGGCTGGTGGCTGCTTAAGATCGCTGGCTTTCCTCTGGCTCTGCAGGCAGCAGAAGGAGCTGACCCAGGAGATGAAGGGGTGGGGAGGAGACCCCACAGACCCTTGTGGCCCACATACCTCAGCCCTGGCCGGATGCTCGGGAGGAAGTATATTTTGCTACCTTTCGTGTGGGGATCTCCAGGCGTGCCATGAATTCAGAGAATCCTGCTGCTAATTTCTGCACGTCTTTTCTTCCTGTGGTCTGGGCTGTTTACCTAGAGCTCCTGTTAATCAGCATGTCAAGTGCGAGGCACTCACCTTCTGGGGAATTCACTTTTCTGGGTATGTGAGGGTTAACTGGAAAACTGTGTTCCTAGACCTTGTTGAAAACTTTTCTACAAATGATGCGCATTTCCCCAACCTCATCTTTTGAAAAGTTCCACCACTTTCTACATATGTGACCTTGGTTAAATTGCCTAACCTCAATAACCTCAATTTCCTTATCTCTTAAATGTGCACAGTGATAAAACTCTCTAGGCTGTGAAAGGAACTAGAAATAGGAGCAGGGCTCAGCACCACAGCATGTGCCTCAGCCCCGGAGCCATTGTCCCCTGCCATCCCTGTCACCCACTGGTCCCCAGAGCTGGGGTAGCACTAAGGGTTTTTGCAGGGATTTAGGATTAGGGCTTGGATGTGTTGCCCATTTTGTACACATGCACAGGGAGTTGGGAGGATGGGCATCAATCTGGCTTCTGTCCTGGTGAAGTCCTCCCAAGGAGACCACCTTTTACAATTGGATGCTTTCTCCCAAAAGCCACTGCAGTCTGCGTGAGATGAACAAGGACAAGTTCACTCTTCATTTGAGTTTGTCATGTCTCCTCTGGGAAGGGTCAGCTGTCCTGGATTCCATGCCCTGGGTACACAGCCCAGGAAGGCAGGGGGCATCACTCAGGGAGGAGCAGGGTGGGCTCTGGGTGCCCGGCAACCATTAGACCTCTGTGTTGCCCACGTAGTCTTGAACGTCTGGACTTGAGGGGTCTTCCTGCCTAGGCCTCCCAAGTGGCTGGCACCACAAGTGTGCACCACCACCCCGGGTCATGGAACTTTCCTACCCAGTCTGCCAAGTCAAGGGGCTGCCCTGAAGTGGGGAGCCCAAGGGACCCCGAGGGACACTGCTCTTGCCGGCTGTGGAGGGGGCTGGGGGGAGAGTGGCAGGCAGGCTGCCAGGCTGCAGCCACACTACCCCTTGGAACAAGGCCAATGTCCGCCACCCCACGAAGGCACGGACTTGTCTTCAGTGAAAGGGCACTGGGGTCAGAATCAGATCAACTCCTAGCCCCGCCCCTGCTGTGTGGCCTAGGGTGTAACCTGAGCTCTCTAGCCCTCATGTGCTTATCTGTAAAATGGGAACACAATCATGTCTTGGTGTCATGGGGGACTGGATGCAGGAGCCCCACAGACACCAAAAGCCAGGGACACTCAAGTCCCTTCTGCAAAACGGTGTAGTGATTGCACAGACTCCACACACTCGCCCCCAGGACCTGTAAACCAAGTCTACCTGGCTTATAACAAAGCCAGTGCTAAGGAAATAGCTGTCATCCCACATTGTTCAGGGAGCAATGACAAGGAAAACAACTATACATGTTTGGGACAGATGCAGTTTCGCTTTTTTTTAGAATATTCTGGACCTGCAGTTGGTTGAACTGTAGACTTAGAAATGCAGGCACAGGGTGCTGACTTTTATGTGGTGTGATAAAACAATCCGGTGAATGTTTAAATTTAAAAAAAATCACAGTAAAAGACACATTGCCACAAATCTCCTTCAAAATGCTCCTCTGGCTTTGAATACATTTATCCCAGCATTCTTGCCACTTTCTGAAACAGTTCTGGAAATCCTCTTTCGTGAGTGTCTTTTTTTTTTTTTTGGTACCAGGGATTGAACTCAGGACCTTGCACTTGCAAAGCAGGTGGCGGAACCACTGAGCTAAATCCCCGGGCCCTTGTGAGTGTCTTTAGTTGTGCTGTCATGGCTGTTTTCATGTCCTGAACTGATTCAAAATGTTTACCTTTGCTGGTCATTTTGACTTTGAGGAAGAGCCAGAACAAGGTGAATGAAAGATGTACCATCATGTTTTTGACAGAAATTGCCCTAAATATTTTGAATCAATTCAGGACATTGAGGCAGCCTTGCAAAACCACTCATGAAAGAGGACTTTCAGAATTGCTTCAGAAAGTGTCAAGAAGTCCGGAATAAGTGTGTTTGAAGTAAGAGGGACTTTTTTTTTTTTTTTTTGGAAGAGGGACTATTTTGAGGGGGATTAATGTCAATGTGTCTTTCAGTGTAATAAATTCTTTTATTTAATGCCAGGCATGGTGGCACATGCCTGTAATCCCAGTACTCAAGAGGCTGAGGCAGAAGGAACGCCATGAGTTCAAGGCCAGCCAGGACTGCACAGTGAGTTCAAGACCAGCCTGAACTACATAGCAAGGCCCTGTCTCAGAAAACAACAACAAAATCTTCTTCTTTTTTTTTTTTTTTTATTAAAACATTCACTGTATTGTTTGTTCACAACTCATATTACTTCTTGAGGTTGATGTGAGACATATGAGATTAGCATATGAGAAATCAGCCTTAGAACATGCAAACACTTGGATGAAGAAGCCCCCAGGTGCTTCCAGCCCTCAGTCTTCTGAGTCTTGCTCAGCCATTCAAGGCTTTCCAGCTGAGGCCCCAGAGGTCATGAAAGACAGTCAACTCTCCTTGCTGTGCCCCCTGAGAGCTCCTGAATTTGTGCAGAAAATACAATGGCGGTTGATACGATGGTTGGTATTTGATATAGTTTCTATCCAGACGTCCCCCAAGAGTCTCATGCACTAGGATCATAGCCAGCGCTTTGGGAAGGTGACTGAATTACCCTGGCTTAGAGCAGACTTGTTATTGGGAGGTGGGGGTGTGGTCAGAGGAGGCAGTGGATGGGGGCGTGGCCTGGAAGAGTTTATCTCCCTGCCTAGCTCCTTCCTTCTCTCTCTGCCTCCTGCCCACCATGCTTGGAGCAGCTCTTCTCTGCCATCCCTGTGCCACGCCTTGGAGCCAGCTGACTACGGACTGGAACCTCTACCAAGTGTGAGCCAACAAAACCTCTCGGCCAGGGATTTAGCTCAGTGGTTCTGCCACCTGCCTCTCAAGCGCAAGGTCCTGAGTTCATCCCCCGTACCAAAAAGAAAAAAACCTCTCATTTATTTATTTATTGGTACCGGGGATCAAACTCAGGACCTTGTGCATTCGAGGCAGGCGGCAGAACCACTGAGCTAAATCCTCAGCAAAACCTCTTCTTAAAGTTGTGGGTGGTGAGTAATGTGTCTCAGTGACAAGAAAGTGATTAAGACAATGTTTTACTCCATTAAGTTTGGGATGATTTGTGATGCTCCAAAAGATAATTTGGGACTCTTACTATTGCACACCTTTCCTGTGACTTTGGTTTCCTTCTTATCGATATACATGCTATGGTAATTTTTTCATTCAAATATCTTCCTGTCTACAAGTATGTTTCTCCCCTTACTCCTGAATAATAATTTTCTTGGATCTAGAATTCAAATGTGATGGTTATTTTCCTTCAGCACATTGGAAGGATTTATGTTTATTGTTTTATGATCTTTATTAAGGTGAAAAGTTGCCTCTAATCAATCTAATTATTGCTCCTGCTCTAGTTTGGAGCTTCAGTGGCCCCCAACAGGGCATGCAGCAAAGTCTTGCTCCCCAGGGTAGTGCTATAAGGAGGAGGTGTCTAATTGAAGATCTTTAGGTCATTTGGGATACCGATGGAGGGGACAGTGGGGTTCCAGTTCCTTCCTCTTCTCTTTCTCTTCCCAGCCAAGTGAGTGCCTTTGCTCCACCATGTGCTGCCCCCATGACGAACTGCCTTGCCAAAGCAGCAGGCCCACGTGATCATGGATGAAAGTTCTAAAACTTTTTTATTTATAAGTTGATTACCTCAGGTATTTGTTACAGTCACAAAAAGCTAATAAACTCCTATTAAAATACTTATTCTATCTATCATTTATCTATCATCTATCATCTATCTGTATCCATCCATCCATCTCTATCTTTGCAGCACTGGGGATTGAACCCAGGTCTTCATCCTGAGCTATAACCCAGGCCTTTTCATTTGTTTCATTTAGAAACCAAGTCTAGCTAAGTCACTAAGTTGCCCAGGGTGGGCTCAAACTCATGATCCTCCTGCCTCAGTCTGCCAGAGTGCTGGGATTACAGCACCTTCACACACAGCACAAACTTCTTTTTAAGTGAGCCATATTTTTTCTAATTATTTTTCAAGATTTCTCTTTGGTTTTCTGCAACATTCATGTGTGTATTTATTTATATTTATCTTACCCAGGACTCAATATGCCTTTTTGATCTGAAAATTCATGCTTCTTTCCCATTCTAGAAAAACTCCATCCATTGTTCATTCAAATATTATTTTTCTCCCATTCATTTTGAGTTTTTTGGGGGACTCTTATTTGTTTGGAACTCCAGGGGCGGGGATTTAGCTCAGTGGTTTTGCCACCTGCTGAGCAGGTGCAAGGACCCGAGTTCGATCCCCGGTATCAAAAAAAAAACAACCCTCATCTAACAGTACGCTAAAACACACATTTAATTATATATAAATTATACCTAATTTGTTTGGAACTCAATTTTCTCATTTTATTATCCATGTCTCTTAACCTTCCTTTCAAATATTCTAACTCCTTGACAAAGGGCTGCATCTGAGGAATTTTTGCAGATTTGCCTTCTAGTCATATTCTCAATTCAAATTATGTTTAAAAATTTAATAATTATATTTTTCATTTCTTGATTCCTTTGAAAGGCTGTCCTTGGCTGGGCATGGCGGTGCATGCCTATAATCTCAGCACTTAGGAGGCTGAGGCAGGAAGATTATATTTTCAATCCTTTTAACATGCTGATTTTATATTCTTTCAGCTTATTCTGTTATCTCAAGTTCTGGGTTTGTTTGGTTTTTTTGACAAGTTCTCTGTATACTGCCCAGGTTGGCCTCAAACCCTTGAACTCACAATCTTCCCACCTCAGCCACTTGGATGGTTAGCATTATAGATATGGATCATGATACCCAGCTCCCACATACCAGGACAGGTTGCTTTTCCTCTTTGTTGCACCCGCTGGGCTTCTCTCATGGTGGATGTTTTTTCATGTGATCTGTGGTTGTTGGGAGTAAGCTCATCTTCAGGTGGATTGTGTTGTCCCTTGGAAGTCCCATGTGTCCTGGGTTGTAAAAATGGCCTCAGAGATGTTTTGCTTGTGTTTTTGCAAAGCTCTAAGAGCTCAACTTTCCAGTTTGGGATCCTTTGCCATGTGGCTATCACACATTTGGATGTCATCTCCATGAACAGTTCTGGTTTCAAGTTTTTATTTTTCCCAGGAAACTTCTGCCACCCAGAGCCCTGAGCCAAGACAAGATTCCTGGTCACTCTCCTGGATTGACAGGTACATTCTTTCCTTTCAGGGTTGGTGATTTTTTTTCCCTCAGTGGGACAAAATGCCTGACACCTGCATCTTAAAGAAAGAGGGTGATTTGGGCTCATGGTTTTAGAAGGGTTCAGTTCATGGGGAATGGCTCCAAGGCAGGACCATCATGGCAGATGGGCACAGCACAGGAGAGAAGCTCAACTTCTGGGAGCTGGGAAGCAGAGAGCAGGGAATGATTTACAATGAGAGATCTACCACCAAACATAGGCCCCTTGAGACCCACCTCCTCCAACCAGGCCTCCTAACAGCACATTCAGCCATGAGCTCATTAGTGGATGAATCCACTGGGGACTCTAGTGTCCCATAATCCAGTCACCTTCCACAGACATACGGGGGGATGTGGGGGTGAGGAGATTGGAGCTGGATTTGAGGGACAGGAAGGATATGGGCCCAGGGTGTGCAGTAGGGGAAAGTTGTGGCTCGTAAAGAACACTGAGAAATGTCCTAGACCCCTTGAAAGGAATGGCTGGCTGAGATAGAATTTAACCCTCCCCCATGCTCACGCCCTGCATGACTCTCAAACTTCAGGAAAAAGTCAGTATTAATATTCAGTACTAATATACTTCAGTACTAATAATACTTCAGTATTAGTATTCAGTATTAGTCGCTTTTCTGTAGCTACATCAAAATTCCCAGGCTGGGTACTTTAAAAAGAAAAGAGGTTTGTCTCCTATGATGAGACAGGAAGCTAGGAAGATTCAAGGACTGGCTCAGTCTCTTTATGATAACCAACCCTCTCAGAAATGGACCAGGGTCCCATGAGAACAACATTGATGTCTTCCAAGGCCACACTCCCTGTGGCCTAACCACCTCCCACTAAGCCTCGCCTCTTAAAGGTCCCACCACCTCAACGCCACCACATTTTGGTCCAAGCTTCCAGCGCATGAACGTTTGGGGCATAAATCACATACAACCCATAGCAGTTGCCAGTCGCAAATGCCTGGGTCAGTGGCACTTGAGTAAAATCAAGGGAACAGAACCTATTTGGGTGTTCAGGGATACAGAAAGAAAATATCCACACGATGCCAGGTGTGGTGGTGTACACCGGTAATTCCATCAGTTGGGAGGCTGAAGCAGGAGGATTTCTGTGAGTTGAAGACCAGCCTGGGGTACATAGTGAGACCCTGTCTCAAAAAAACAAAATAAAGAGAAGCATTCACAGTATGGCTGAGCACACAATGCATATCCCAGCTCCGTCCTACCGCTGTCCCCATGTGCTCCTTAGGTGCTCCGAGCTGCAGCCACCTCCAACACAAGTACTCTGTGTTCACCATGGTTTTTTTTGTTTCGTTTTTGGGGGGTTTTTTTTGGTACCGGAGATTGAACTCCGGTCCCTGCGCTTGCGCAGCAGGCAGCGAAACCACTGAGCTAAATCCCCAGCCCAAATCGATGCTTTGTATGTTCTTTTTTTTTTTTTTTTTTTTCGTACCGGGGATTGAACTCGGATCCTTGGGCTTGCGCAGCAGGCGGCGAAACCACTGAGCTAAATCCCCGGCCCCTGTGTTCACCATGTTTGTCCCAGACCCTCACCCAGCAGGGCTGTGGCCTTCCTGTGCCACCTCCAGCCTCTGCTCTCCTATTGTCACCTGCCCTACCTTGGGTCCTCCTCACCTACCAGCAGGGACTTAAAGCCATGAGCAGTTCTGTTTTCCACAGGATGGAGTCCAAACCCACATTAGCTTGTCCTTTGTGATCAGGGACCCACTGTCCCTTCTACCCACATGATAGCCACTGTCTTCTTTCTTCATAATGGAGCCCCCGGGTTTTAGCTGCTCCTCCTGATAAAGACATTTTTCAGATTCTCTTGCAGCGTGTTATGGCCCCTCAACAAGTTCTGGCTAATGAGATGTAAATGAAGGTGTTCCCTAAGCCTGTTTATAAATCAGCTTAATAGACAACAGGCTTAGCTGAAAGGAATCCCCCTTCTGGAATTTTGATACACTGGCTGGAGCTCTAGCAGCCCTTTTGGACGTAACAGCCCTCCCTGCCACTCTGGCTTTCCCAGTCCTCTGTGTGGCCCTCCTGTCACATTCACCTGTCAGCCAAGGTGTACATGACGTGGCTGGGGACAAGGATTGGGTTTTCTCTCCCCTCTAGTTCCCTGGAATTAAGACAGTGCCAGGCATTTAGTAGATACTCAGTAAACTCGCCTGGACGGAAGCTGACAGCCATACTGCCCCTCTCCTGCTCCCCTCTCACGACTAGGTGGCCACACGGGGGCGGCGGTCAGGGCCATCGCGACCTTCCTGGGCTTCCCTCATCTGGCCCCCAAGACAGGGGTGGGGCAGCTACTAACGCAGAGAATGCAGGACTCCCAGGATGTCAGGATGCCCATGGGGCAGGCGGCTTGAGCCAGAGCAAGCTCCCGAAGGGACGCAGGCGCGGCGATGCTGGGAGGTTTTGTGGTCGGAGCGTCTCCCTCCCGGGTCAGTCCCGCTCCTCTCCACCAGGGGGCGGTGCTGGACAGGCCTCTTGAAGCTCCGCCTGTCGCCAGTACTTGGGAATTTAGCCCCGGGAGGGAGTGTATCCGTGCGACAGCCACCGTGAGGTGGAGGGCTTTCCCAGCACCCCCAGGCTTCCCTTGCGCGCCGCCCCGTCACTCCTCCCAGGAAGCGCCGTCCAGACGCTGCACCACAAGCTGTGGGGTGCGTGTGTGTGTGTGTGTGTGTGTGTTTGTGTGTGTGTGTGAACTTTTATTTGTCCGTGTCCATGTCTGCAGTACATGATTGTGTTCATCGTGGGGAGTCGGCACCTGTACATGACACATCCTGATCCTTCTCTCATCCCCTTCCTCTCCCTCCATCTCTTGGTCCCTTTTCCACTTGCAAAAGAGTTATCTATTATCTACTTTTTATTTATTTATTTATTTATTTTTTGATACCAGGGATCAAACTCGGGACCTTGCACTTGCAAGGCAGGCGGTGGCACCACTGAGCTAAATCCCCGGCCCTCTATTATCTATCTTTTATTTTGCTCTTTATTGTTCTTTCGGTTTCTCATGTAGGAGAAACCATGCAATATTTAAGCTGTGTGCCTGATTTAGTTCACTGCGCATTATGGTCTCAAGTTGCATCCATTTTACAAGTGACTCAGATGTAGCCTTCCTTGTGGCAGAGCACTGCTCGGTGGTGTGTAATCACCACACTGCTTGTGGCTGGGCAGCGTAGGAGTGGAGGCCTGGTTGGCTGCTCTCTGATCTCCAACACCATCACAGATGTGAGGTCATGCACACTGTCGTAGGCAACATTACAGTTGTGCTTTGGTTATCCACAGGGTTGGTACTCTCCAGATACTAAAACTCATGGAAGCTCTAGTCACTTATATGAAAGGGCCTGACATTTGCATTTAACCTATGTGCATCCTCCCAAAAACTTGTTGTTTGGAGGCAGGGTCTTGCTATTTAGTGCAGGCTGGCCTTGAACTCACTATATTGCCCAGGCTGGCCTCAAACTCACAGCTATCCTCCTGCCTCAGCCTCCCGAGTGCTGGGATTACAGGCATGCATCACTACACCTGCCTGGCCATCAGGTGAACTTTTTTTTTTTGGTACACAGGATTGAACTCAGGACCTTGTGCTTGCAAGGTAGGCGCCGGAACCACTGAGCTAAATCCCCGGCCCCAGGTGAACTTTTAAAGAAGCTACCACACTGACCTGTTTGGCTCTGACAAGTTCTCCCTGGCCACTTATGTGCCCCTGGTTGGGGTGTTCAAGGGCGGCCCCCCTACTCCCACCCTGCCCTCCACTTCCCATCTCCCCACCCCCACCCCGGTCCTCTGCGATGTCAGCAGGGGCCCAGGGACAGATGCGTACTGGCAGCCCCTATGACTGGGGTTCCAGGGCCCTGATGGTAAGGGTCACAGGGCTGGGCTGCCAGGTGTCGCAGGCTGGTGTGAACCCTGGGCAGCCACCCCAGAGTGCCTGGGCATCTTGCCAGGTGGCCTGCACAATGCATTCTGTTATGGTAGGACCTCGGCAAATTGAGGTCTGGCACCATTCTGGGGTCCCCAGGAGGTGACAAATCCACCCCGGAGCAGGAGGAGCTTTGAAGCCTCAGCCCTGGACCGTGCTGCTTGGCAGCTAGCTAGCTTTGAGGACGGCAGCGAATCCTGCAGTCCCGACCATGCCCAGCAGGAGCCACCCGGCCACTGCTCCAGGCCCAAGGCCGCCAGGGATGCACGGGGCCATTCAGCCCGTCCTGAACAAATGTTTGCAAGAAGGCACCAGCTTCTCCATGCTGGTGGCACGGGAAGGGAGGGGAAGGTGTAGTCTTCCCAGTGGGTACTCGGGCGATCCTTCAGCAACCACCTGTAAAGCTGCTTACCTAGGGTGTGCTTGGGCCAGGGGGGACATGAACTAATAATGCTGAGCACCCACAAGGTGCAGCCTAGCACAAGCCACAGCACCCGGGCCAGATCCTGACCATGAACAAGTTGCTTAACCTCTTTCTGCCTGTTTCCCCATCTGTGATATGGGGTTGTTAGAATGAATGGAAGCTTTCTATGGAGTGGCCAAGAAGAGTCTCAAGGTAGCAGAGGGCTGGAACTAGTAGCTTGCAGAAGGGAGCCATGCTTCCTCACCTATTGCTCATCCCACCCCACAAGAGGCCGATTAACATACACACTTACTTACTTAATAAGAGTTACTGACTTGGGAGCCTTCAGGAATAAGATCAATGTTGGGCATGGTGGTACACACCTGGAAGGAATCCCAGCCTTCTGGGAGGCTGAGGCAAGAAGATCTCTAGTTGGAGTCTAGGCTGGTAACTTAATAACACCTGCCTCAAAATAAAAAATAAAAAGGCCTGGGGATGTAGCTCAATGGTAGTGCTCTTGGTTAACATGTTCAAGGGCCATAGGTTCAAGCCCCAGTGCTACCAAGAAAGAGAGAAAGAAAGAGAGAAAGAGAAAGTCCCAAAGAAATGAGGAGGTTGGCGTTTCTCTGCTATCCTTGGTGGCGTGTGGACAGCTGTCAAGGAGGGGTCAAGAGGATGGGAAGGAGTAGGGCTCAGCAAGGCTTCTCTTCCGTTCTCCCATAGATGAGGGGTGTCACCTGCTTCTGAGAAGGGCGAGGGAAGTGGCACTCCCTGCTTCCACTGTTTCCCAATGCCAAGCCCCTCACTCTGTACTCCAGATTGAGCCCAGGGTCTTCACACTGACCTACATCCCAGCCCCTTTTAAATTCTGAGTCAGCATCTTGCTATGACACTAAATTGCCCAGACTGGGTTTGAACGTGTGACCCTCCTGCCTCAGCCTCCCACAGTGCTGGGATTACAGGCGTGTGCCCCTACGCCCTGCCAAGAGACCATATTTTAGGGTGGCATACCCTGAACCCTGTCACTTTGTTGCAGAAATTCACACTGACGCATGTGGTGGGGACCTGTCTCATGCCCTGTCCTCTGCGGTGGCCTGCGGGGACTCTGGCTTCTCACACTTCCCACCCCCTCTGAGGTGCTGCAGGTGGGCAGCAGGGTGCCCCACCCTGCCTGCTGGCTTCAGTCAGCCCGGCGACCGCGACTAGCCCAGTGATTTTCCAGATGGACTGAAGCAAAGCTCTAAGCTCATGAGTCGATAAGATGCCACGCACAGCCCTTTCACTGAGGCGGCTTATTGCCAGTCGCCCCTGCTCCAGCCCTCTGCAAGGGCTCCTGGCAACCAGGCTGCAGCTGAAGTCTGAGAGGGAAGAGCGGGGCCTCCAGCACTACCCAGCAACTGCAGGGCTGCCAGAGGGCCAGAGGGCCAGAGGGCCCCCCAACCCAGGGGCTGGGCTGCTGGAGCCTGGAGCCGCCCCCGGATTGCTGTGGTTGGTGCAGACTGACAGCTTCCAGGGCAGAAACGGAGGAGCCGGAAGGGGGCGCCAGAGAGGGAAGGTTCCAGGTGGTGGAGTGGTGCCCACCTTCCTCTGGCCAAGAGTAATGTCATAGCATGTTGGGCAGGAAGGGGCCCCAGACCAGCTCATCCTGGCTTCCTGTAGGAAACACCAAGGCCCAGGGAGGACAGGGAAACATAGCACAGAACCTGACTCTCCAGAACCCCCATCTTCTCCCACCCCTGCCAAACCCCCCAACCACAGAGTGATTCAGAGCTGTCCAGATCGTGGCCTTGATCTGGGGTCTTGGGAACAGCTCAGCCTGGAGGTTGAGGGCCAGGGGACTCAGCTCCCAGACCAACATGGGGGGGCGGGGATTGCCACCCAAGTGGACTTGCAGGACCCCCTAGGTAGGAATGATGCAGAGTCCCCAGGGCCCCGAGCTTTCATTAATCTGCTCTTGAGAAGACCCCAGGAGACTCCTGTGCTCATTGCCTATGGGAAACACCAGGTCAGGGCACCCTTTGCCTCCATGAGCCTCAGTTTCCCTAAGGGAAACCCAGGGGTAGAGGCCTGACCTCCTGTGGGTCTTTCTGGTGATGCTGATCCTAGAAAGTAGAATTCCAGCTCAGCACATCTGGGGGACTGACCATCCCTCTCTCCTGTGTCTCCTGAGCCCCTCCTCCCTACTGGAGGCCCAGGGCAGGTGCAACTCCATGGTCCTGGCCTGCAGCTCACTCAATTTGATCCATTTCAGCAACACATCGCAATCACTGGGGATTTTTTTGTTTTTTGTTTTTTTGTGCAGCACTAGGGATTGAACCTAGGGCCCTTGCATGGAGCTATATCCATAACACTTTAAGAAAAAAAATTTTTTTTAAATAATTTTGAGACAGCAGCTAAGAAGTTGCCCAGGTTGGGCTTGAACTTGGAATTGTCCTGCCTCACCCTCTCAGAGTGCTGGGATTACACACATGCACCACCACACCCAGCTAACTGGGCATGCTTTCTAAAACTCCTAAGGCCCAGGCCCCACCCCAAGTCAAGGGAACCAGAGACTGGGCACAGGTACTTATTAACCTGGCCTGGGCAATTATAATGCAGGGCCAGGCTGCCATGGGTCAGAGGTCAGAGACAAGGCTGCCTGACACCCTCCCCAGTCATGTGTGTGTCCTGTTTCCTTTTCTCAGGCAGCCAGCTGAGGCAGGTTGGCTTCGAGCCAGGAGAAACCACCAGGAAATTCCCTGGATATTATAATGTGTGACAGCAGCATCTAATTAATCATCAACCCTGTGATATGATCTCCACCCATAAAAAAAGAGACCTGCTGAGGCTTCGGAAACCTGAGCCCTGGCCCTGCCAGACTGTTTCCCATAGACCGAGAATCTGTGCTCGAGGACCCTGGGCTGATGGGTGCCCACCTCTGCTCAGAGGCTGGTAAGGAGACTTCCTATTTCTTTGAGCCAGGCTCTGAGGCCAGGCACGCAGAGGGGAGAGGGCTCAGGGTCCCTGTCCAGTGCTCAGGAGGCACGGGGCGGTCAGTGTTGACCTTGCTCAGCAAGGGCTTCCCACGCAGCTCTGCCCCTGCAAGGTGTGAGCTTCCTGTCCCTACAGGGGTCTAGCAGAGATGGGTAACTCAGGTGACAAGAAGACCACCAACCCACCTGGTTCTCACATCCTGGCAGACAGAGAGAGAAGCAGCCAGGCTGGGCAGCAGGGCAGAGTTAGGGAGCCTGGTGGAAAACAAGGGGTCCCAGCTGGGTGAGTTGGACTGCAAGATTTTGGGAAAGTCATTCTGTCTCTATTCCTCTTCTGCACCTGGAGGCAGTGTGACACAAGGTGTCCTTTGGGAGAGGGTGTGGCTGGACAGGAGATCCAGACCCAGGTCTTTGATGCCCAGAGGTCAGGAGCCCCCAAGGCAAAGGGCCAGAGCCCCTGCCCACACACCAGCAGAGGGTGCACCCAGGGCCACCACGCCATGGCAGCTATGTTTGAATTTCAGGTGGGGTAGTGACATGGCCAGAAATGTGGCAAAGGGTTCGGGAGACAAGGAGCTGGGCCCTGCTTCTGGCCAAGAGGACCTCTTGTCCTGTGCAGCCCTCCCAACTCTGCATGCTTCCCAGGCCACTGTAAAGCATTAGTGGGCGCCTTGGCACCCAAGAGCCTTGGGGCTGGAGGTAGTGATGAATCAGGGACAAGGCTGGGCTGGGTGGCCCCCGGAGCAGGTAGCCAACCCCATGCCACTTCAGGCCCACAAGACTTGCTGCAAAAAAAAAAAAAATTTTTTTTTTGGAGACAGAGTCTCACTGTATTTCAGGCTGGCCTTGAATTCACTATGTAGCCCAGGCTGGCCTCAAACTCTTGATCCTCCTGCATCTGGCTCCCAAGTGCTGGGATTATAGACGTGCACAACCACACCTGATTTTTGCTGGAAAATTTTGTGACAGACTCCACCTGCCCTGGGGCGAAGACACCCAGGGACAGACTTGTCTCCCCTGGATTTCCTGGAAGTCAGACTGGGTCCTTGTCCTTGTCCCGCTGGCCCAGGCCATGCCCCCTGCAGCAGTGGGGAGCAGAGGAGGCAGCTGGGATGCTTGGAGAAGATACCCTACAGAGAGTCACCACATTTCACTGCCTGAAAATGGGGCCCATATTAAGAACAGCACCTGGCTTCCCTGAATCCCAGGTCAAGCCAGCCTTCCCAGAGAGCCTCATTCATTTGGCCGGGCCTGCCTCTGCCATTTCCCACCTCAGGAGGGGTGCACCAGCTGGCCAGGTCAATGGTGGGAGGGCTTTCACAGGTGTGTGGGAGAACCAGGCAGAGTGGAGTGGGTGCCCACATACTTCATGCCCCGGTGACCCAGCCCCATGCAAAGCAGAGGAAGGGGCCCTGTGGGTGGATGAGTCCTGCAGGTTGCTGATAGGCTGGCAGGGTGAGGGTGGCTCTCAGGCCCATTCAACCTGGGCCTTGTGCAGTAAACAACTAATACTACCAAACAGAATAGTCCATATGGAGAGACCAGGCCCCAAGGAGCCCTTTGTTCCCTGGCTGTGGTGATGCCTTGCAAGGGCCGAACTCAGGCATTTGCTAAGGGGCTGCATCAGGTAGGGCTGCAACCCAAGTGTACAGATGGGAGGAGGGGGATCAGTGTGTACCCTCTGCTTCCCTCCTCTAACTGAAGGAACACAAAAGCACTGCAGTCTGTCCAGTTCTGCCCAGGTCAAGGCTTGCTTCTCCTGGCGTCCCAAGGCCTCCTTCTCCTGCTGAGGGACATAGGCAACCACTCTGGGAAGCTCCCTCCTCCCGGGCTGCCCAGCCAGTTGGTCTCTGGCTGCCCTCCAGGAAGCAGATGGGCAGTGACTGTGCCTCCCCCCACAGCCCTGCCCAGAATGGGTCCCACCCCAGTCAGCCTGGTCTGGCTGCCCCAGCAACGGGGAGGGGCCAGAGCTGTTGGCCCGGAAGAACGCATGTCTGCTGGTCACCAAGGATCACAGGGTGAGCAGGACACACTCCAGGTCCCTGACTCCAGAGGGTCAGTTCCACTTCCCACAGGGGCCCTCAGGGTGGCACAGGTTGGGGGCATTGCCTCAGGGACTCCCCCCCCCTTAGGGCAGCAGTGAGGAACAGGGCTCCCAGCATACCCAAGGGACAGGACAGGTGACCCAGGGCAGGGCTCTGCCAGGACCAGTACAGAGGTCCCCAGGCACCTGCCACTTGGCCTCATAAGCTCATTTCTGGTAGCTTACCTGTGGCCAATGGGGTCAAGGATGCATTCCCCTGTGCCTAATCGGATGTACCTCCTCCAGACCTCGGGACTTAGAGAGGAGACGGCTGCCCGGGAGGGACTTCCCCTCCCTGCTGCCAAGTGGACGCCTGCAGAAAGTCCCTTGGATTCAAGGCCCCTGTGGACTCTGCTCTGGCTTTCAATGCACTGACCTCAGACCCTTCTCCAGCCCCAGCCCTGCGGTGCTGTGGGGAGCTGCTGAGTCCCCTTCTGTCTCAGGATGAGGAGGTTACTCTGGGAAGGAGGGGCTTCACAAGCGCTGTAGACTCCCTGTGGGAAATGAGGTCAGAGAGGCAGAGGGGAACAGGGCCACCTTGGCCAGCTCCTTGGCCAGGCCACCCCAGGCTAGAGCAATAAGCATTGAAGATGCCTGGATGCAACCAGCCCTTCTGTCACCGCCAGTAATTTCCACCCCTGGACTGGCTTTAGACAGGGCCCCGACGCATGGGCGCTGCTGTCCTTTGGTTTGTCACACCCTCCTAAGGTGGGAGGACTGAGGCCCAGGAGGCATGGTAGGAGTCAGACCCAGGACAGGCGAAGTGGGCTCCCCACCCGCCTCCACACAGGTCTCTGGGGGCTCCTAGGGCGGGGGGGGGGGTGCGGGGGCAGGTAGATCAGAGAGGCCCGTGGAAGGCGGCGAGAGTTCCCTAAGGAGACCAGGTCCAGGCTGGCCCACGGTCACTCATCCCTCGTCCCCACCCTCGACCCTACCCTGTCCCGCAGATGGGCAGGCGACTGGGGAGGCACTGCGCTTCCACGCAGCGGCCCGGGGAGCGCAGGTGCGCATGGACGAGCAGGGGCGCACGGCACTCAGGGGCGCCTCGTTCCGCGACGGCATCGTGTTCAGCCAGCGGCCCGTGAGGCCCGGAGAGCGGGTGGCCTTGCGTGTGCTGCGCCACGAGCCCGGCTGGTACGGCGGCCTCCGCGTGGGCTTCACACGCCTGGACCCTGCGCGCATGGCGGCGCCCGGCCTGCCGCCCTTCGTGTGCCCAGACCTGGAGGAGCAGAGCCCGACATGGGCGGCTGTGTTGCCGGAGAGCAGTGTGCGCGCTGGCAACGTGGTCTGCTTCTGGGTGAACCACCGAGGCTGGCTCTTTGCCAAGGTCAACGCCGCACGCCCGCTGCTGCTGCGCAAGGACGTGCTGCTGGGCTCCCCACTCTGGGCCGTGATGGACGTGTACGGGACCACCAAGGCCATCGAATTGCTAGGTAAGGCCTGGACGGGAGATGAGGTGCAGAGCTGCCCATGTGTTCATTTCCAGCTATTCCATCAGGCCCTGCCCCCAGTCAAGTGTAAGGACAAGCAAGACCCAGTTATAGGGAGGGCAGCCTTATCCCTAAGGAAGGACCAGCACCCTAAAACATCTGTTAAAAGGCTCATCACGTTTCACAAAGGAAGAAACATTTGGCTAGGGCTTTGCAATCTAAGTAGTTCACCAGATTCCGAGGTGGCTGGCAAGGGGAATTTAAGGTTGAGGGCTGGGAGTTCCCAAGCGAGATGCATAGGCTAGCCAAGCCAGAAGAGGATGAATTCCAGGAGTGTGAAGAGACAGGAGCACCCATGGAAAGAAATACTAGAGTTTTCCTGGGCACATGGGCCATTCCCACCCCAAACGAATTGGCTTGTAAAATAAAACAATTCACCATAGCTACGGGGAGACTCAGTCCTGGAGCAGCTAAGCGGGGTGGGTGGGGGGACCTGTGTTGTCCCTGCCTCCTGGGTGATTTTTAGCGCATTGGAGTTTGAGGTGCCTTTAATGTGGTGGGGAGGAGGGGCTGGAAGGGAAGGGGTTGGGAGGAAGAATTGCAGCCAGTGAATTATCAGCTGGGGCAGGGCAGGGTCTGAAAATTACCCCCGCCCCAGCGCTATACATAAAGGAAGGGGTGGAGTGTGGGCTGCCGGCCTGGACCCTGAGAACCCCCTCTGTCTCAGACTCAGGAGCCAGCCCGTGTGTCACAGCCACCCTGGGGGTCCCTGGACAGAAAGCGGAGCCCGAGCCCAAAGGTGAGGGGGTCGGGGCTCCGCACCTGGAGTGGGTTCAGGTGGCTCTGTCAGGTCTTTCCCCACCCCTCAGTGGATCTACCTGGCTTTGGGCCAGAAGATTTGAGTCTGCCCCCTAGAAACCTAAAAGCAATTTTGCCTTCTAGAACACTGGCTAACTTTACAAATTCTAAGCATTTATTCAGAGCAGGGCAGGGAGGCACACACCTCCCAGCATCCTGGGAGGCTGGCAGAAGGATGACAAGTTCGAACCCAGCCTGGGCAACTTAGGGAGACACAATCTCAGAATTTAAAAAAATAAGGAGGGGATGGGGGTGAGGATTGTAGCTCAGTATGAATATCATGGGTTCAATCCCAGTATCAAACAAAAAGCAATGTCTTGTTTTTGCTTTAAGAAAGTAATCCATATTTATTTATTTTCAGTGTTTTAAGATGGGGTCCTACTATGTAGGTCAGGCTGCCCTTGAACTCATTGTGTAGCCCAGGCTGGTCTCAAACTCGCAGCGGTCCTCCTGCCTCAGCCTGTCAAGTGCTGGGATTACAGGTGTGCACCACCATGCCCATCTTCACATTCATTTTAAAGCTTTGCCAAATAAGATCAATCTTTTGAAAAGAATTTTTTGAAAATCACCCATTACTTCTAGGGTAGATTTCCTCTGAGCATTTTTTAGTGCATGTGCATATGGCGAAGCATTTGGGTCTCACATCCCTTTTATCCAAATTGTAATTTTATTTTATATGTATTTAGATGTTTTATATGGTCTTCCCCTTTATCCTCAGAGGATATATTCCAAGATGTCCCACTGATACCTGAAACTATGGATTGTCCCATATACTATGGGTTTTCCTAATTTATAAGTTGGGCATATGAAGAGATGACAATAACTACTACTAGGACAATTGCAACAATGTACTGTGAAAATAGTTATTTGAAATTTGTGACTTTTTTTCCTGGAATTTTCCATGGAATTTTCATGGCAACTGAAACTGTGGAAAGCTAAACCTTACTGGAACAGGGACCACTGTGTGTACCCTATGGCTTCTTTCCAGTTTCTTTCCCTCACTTGTGTGGTGACTGCGTCCTCCCAGGGTGCCTGAGCTTCTCTGTCCTGGGGGGCTGGGGTCACACCCTGAACAGGAAGCCCAGGGCCCCCAACCTTTGTGGTCTCCCCTCCCAGCCCTACCAGGGGAAGAGTGCATCATCTGCTTCCACTGTGCCGCTGACACCCGCTTCGTCCCCTGCGGTCACCCACACTTCTGTAGCTCCTGCGCCTGGCGCATCTTCGAAGACACTGCGAAGTGCCCCATGTGTCGTTGGCAGATTGAGGGCGTGGCAGCAGTGCAGCCACCGAGGACTGGAGAAGGCTCCTAGGAGAGAGAAGGCTTCCTGTTGGTGGCAGATGGGCCTGGCCCTAAGGACAAAGTGCAGAGGAGGTTTGGCCCCACTCGCCTCCTGGATGGTCAGAAAGCCAGTTAGCAGCCAGGGGGGGACAGGGATGACAGTGACCAAGGGAAGCCTCTTTCTGCCTACACCTGATGGCCCCTAACTGGGTGCCAGCTTCCAACCCAGGGTGGCTGGGTCCCTCATGACATGGTTAAGGAAGTGACAAGTCTCCCTGCAGCCCCAGAGCTGAGGACAGAGGAGGGAGGTCGGTAGGTGGACCTCTACAAGGCCACGTAGGGCCGGGGATTTAACTCAGTGGTTCCACCACTTGCTTCGCAAGGCCAAAGTCCCAAGTTCAATCTCTGGTACCAAAAAAAAAAAAAAGAGTAAGAGAAAGTAAAATACTCTGGGCTGGGGATTTAGCTCAGTGGTTCTGCCAAGGACCTGAGTTTGATTCCCGGTACAAAAAAAAAAGGGGGCCATCGTAAAGTGACCTATGGCTACAACCCAGGGTGGGGTGGGGTCCCAGGTGACATTGCGCGTCTGAAGATAATTCAACAGGCAAACACACACTGTTGCACTGATTTCTGAGATATCAAAATAAAGTTTGGCTTCTGTGAGTTTTTTGGTATGGCTTGTACCATTGTGTTCACTGGGAGAGGGTGGAGCTCCGGACTGCCCGGACACTGGCCACTGGGGGACAAGCTATCCTGCCCTCCCAGGCCACCCTGGTTGTGCAGTGGATGGGCCAGGCCCCAGGCACTCAGGCATGTGGTTCTGTTCAGCGGAGCAGTGCCAGGACAGTCCCACCATCTCAGCCCCTTTGTATCTCCCATGTTGTGCCCTCGCCACTGTGGCTTTCAGGGCACTACCTGGTGGAAGACAGGAGGTGAATTGGGAGCTCCCCTCCGTAGGTGCAAGTGGCAGGGGATGACACACCTGTGACTTTGCTGCTGTGTCCTGCTCTGTGACCAGCTCCGGGACCATTCCCTGGGGCACAGCTCAGAAGGGTCTAGACCTGTTCTCCTCCCACAGATGGCCTCACTGCCCAGCCTGAGCCAGCCTGTGGGTCAGGGTGTTGCCTCAGGTGGCACTAGAATATCTCTCCTCTGGGGTAGGGGTCCTCCCTGCTCCCACCAGGGCTCTAGCCTTGGGCACTTCTTTGAGTCTCAGTTTCTTTTCTTTCTTTCTTTCTTTTCTTTTTTTTTTTTTTTTTTTTTGAGTGCTGAGAAATGAACCAGGGCTTCTGTATGCTAACCATGTACTTTACCATTGAGCTATATCCCTACCCACCACCTGAATTTAGCATGATTCCTAAGAATCCTACGATAAATTTTTGTGTGTATGTGGTAATGGAGATTGAAACCAGGACCTTTGCACTAAGCTACAGCCACAACCTTTTTTTTTTTTGACAGGATTTTGCTAAGTCACTAAGATGCCCAGGCTGGGCTTGAACTTGTGATCCTTCTGCCTCAGCCTCCCAGAGCACTAAGATTACAGGTATGCAATGCATGCCTGGCTTTTTTTTGGTATCAGAGATTGGACTCAGGATCTTGTGCTTTCAAGGCAGGCAGGCGTGGCTCCACTGAGCTAAATCCCGAGCCTGCCTAGCTTTTTAAATATATTTTTTAAACCCAGACAGGCCTGTCCAACCTGCCTGGGCTGTGTTGAGTGAGGAGGAATTGTCTTGGGGTGTATAAAAATGTATAATATAGTTTATGTATGTAAGTAATAAAATTTTTCATATTTTACAATAGTTTTTATTATAATACAGGCATCTTCAACCTGAATCCTGCAGGTTGAAAACACCTGCTTTAGGGCAAGGAAAATACTTTAATCATATTTCCAGTGAACATTAATCTTAACATTGGGGCAAGATGGATCTTAGAAATATGATCTCTTAACCAGAAGTGGGCCTACTTTGAGAATGGTGGGGTAAGGATTTCTGTAAATCCATTCCTCCCTCAAAGAAAGAAAACTGGCAAAATTATCAAAATCAATTTTTCAGAACTCTGGAAATGAACCAAAGACTAACAGTAATATGATTGGATTTTTTTTTCTTTTATATTGGGGATTGAACTTGCATTTTCGAGGCAGGCACCAGAACCACTGAGCTAAATCCCTGGCCCACTAACAGTAATCTGAAGAGTGCTTATCCCAGATACACTGATGACCTTCACCACTAAGAAAAGTCCCACCCTCTTGATCTTTTAAAAAACAAACTCATCAGAGCAGCAGAAAGGGTGTAGCTAAAAAATGTATTTGTGTTTTGGAACCAACCAGGATATACTGCAAAATTACCAAGAGGTGAGATGTATAAAAGGAGGAAAAGAGGGTAGATGCAGAAGCTCCAAAATCCATCCAGTAGGCGTTGCAAAAGAAGAAAATAGAGAAAAGAGAATTACTCAAAGATGAGAGAAAAATGCATCCTCCGGGGGACTTGTAGGCACCATTGAGGACAGAGTGCACCTACAGGGAGCAGGAGCCTTAAGTGGATGCTTATGAAACAAAGAGTGCTGCTCTTCAGGATGCAGAAGTCTGGCTGCGATCATATTCTCTAAGCAGAGGACTGAAAGAGAATTCTCTAGAATATGAGGGATGATCAAAATGTGCAGTGGGAATATTTAGTCTTAAAAAACTCTTACAGTAAAAGACACATTGCCGGGCCAGGGATTTAGCTCAGTGTTTCCACCACCTGCCTTGCAAGCCCAAGGTCCTGATTTCAATCCCCGGTACTAAAAAAAAAAAAGACACATTGCCATTAGTCCCCTTCAAAATCTCCCCACACACTTTAAACACACTTATCCCATGGTTCTTGCCACTTTCTGAAGCAGTTCTGGAAGTCCTCTTTCATGAGTGTTGTCTTAGTTACTTTTTCATTGCTGAGACAAAATACCCTTCACCAAAGTTAAAGGAAGAAAGGTTTATTGTAGCTCACAGTTTGTAGAAGTTTCAGTTCACACTTGGCTGGCTCCAAGACAAGGTGGTATGGCAGAGGAGCATCACAGAGGAGGCAGAAGGGGATGGTGGGCAGAAGGCAGCAAAGTAGCAAAGAAAGCAACAAGTGAACACAGCAACCCTCTTTCTGTCCCTTATATTCTATCCCGCCTACACTCCCTTAGGGTGAGTAGCACTCACAAACAGAGTGGGCCTTCCTGTTATCCACACCCAGAACTATGCCAGACCACTCAGTAGGATAATTTAGCAATCACACACTCTTGAACCTAGCATCACACACTCTAGATCCAGCCACCTTGGAGGACATCTAGACACAAGCCAATTTACAAGGGTTAATTAAAATTACAGTGAATGCTGCTGCCCAGTGCCATCCAGTGGAAAGGCAGCTCATAAAAACACTATGCTATGTCCTCATCCACCTCATTCACTGCATCAGGCACTGTGTGACTTCTGGCTCTAAAGTAAAAATGACTGTGAAGGGTCAATGTTATCAATTTACTATATCAAGGCAGCCACAACAGTGCAACTAAAGAAATGAAAGAGGACTTTCAAGAACTGTTTTAGAAAGCAGCAAGAGGGCCGGGGATTTAGATCAGTGGCTTCACTGCCTGCTGTGCAAGCTCAAGGACCAGAGCTCGATCCCTGGCACCAAAAAAAAAAAAAAAAAAAAAAGTGGCAAGAATGATGGGATAAGTGTGTTCAAACACAGGGGGAGTATTTTTTTATTTTTTGGTATCGGGGATCGAGCTGTTGCTTGTACAGCAGGCGGCAGCACCACTGAGCTAAATCCCTGGCCCCCAGGGGGAGTATTTTGAGAGGGATTAATGCCAATGCATCTTTTACTATAATAATTTTTTAAATTAAATAGTCACATAATTTTATCATACAGTATATCTATATATATACACATTCTTTTGATTCTGTTCCTCTAGAGAACCCTAACCAACATGCTCATTGATAGGTAAATACAACCTACGGTCTCTGTGTTGTGGAAGTTTGTGCCATGGTTACAAGAAAGGAGTTACCACTGTATTTCTGACAAAAGAGAATGTAGTGTAAAGGCCATGTATATGAAAATACATAAAATAACGAGTGTGTGTGTGTGTGTGTGTGTGTGTGTGTGTGTGTGGTAAATGCATAGTGGAGGGTGTGGGAGTATGGGAGGATAAGAGGTGAACTGGGAAGGGACTGGGAAGGGGTGGCATGATTGGACATGTGATTTTATGGCAATGTTTGGACTGTTTTTTCTTACAATAAGAACAAGTTTGCCAGGGATTTAGCTCAGTGGTTCCGGCACCTGCCAGGCAAGCACAAGGTCCTGAGTTTGATCCCCAGTACCAAAAAAAAAAAAAAAAAACGGACAGGTTTATATATTAGTTAGGGAACAAAAATATTGGCTTTGGGAAACAATCTGGTGATTTCTCAAAAAGTTAAACAGAGCTACCATATAGCACAGGAATTCAACTCTTACTAATATACCCAGGAGAACTGCAACTGCATATCTGCACAAAACTTGTGCACAAAGTTCACGGAATTGTTCCTAAGCTAAATGTCCATTTGTTGAGAAATGGATAACAAGATGTGGTGTTCACTACAGTGGAATGCAATGGCACCAGGTGTGGTGGTGTATGCCTGTAATCCCAGCACGTTGAGGGTATGAAGCTTGGACAACTTAGTGACTTAGCGAGACATTGTGTCAAAATTGAGAGACAGAGAGACAGAGAGAGAGAGAGAGAGAGAGAGAGAGAGAGAGAGAGAGAGAGAGAGAGAGATACCCCAGCCCAAAGGCCCTGGATTCAATCCCTAAGACCAGAAAAAAAAGTATGAAACCAACTGAGCATGGTGACCCACACCTATACTCCCAGCTACTCAGGAGGCTGAGGCAGGAGGATCACAAGTTAGAGGCCAGCCTGAGTAACTTAGTGAGACCCTGAATCAAAATAAAAGGATTTAAAAGGGGTAGGAGTATAGCTGAGTGGTAGAATACCTGCCTAGCACATGTAGGGCTCTGGGCTCATACCTAGCATCACACACACATCATGAAGTATGGACTACATGCTCCAAAAGGGATGGACTTTGGAAACATTATACTGAGAGAAGGAAGCAGGCACACAAGGCAGTGTATCACATGATTCCATTCACATGAAATGTCCAGAACAGGAAATCCAGGGACAGGAAATAGATTAGTGCATGCCAAGGGCTGGGAAGAGGGAAACATGGAATAACAATTTAGGGGGTGGGGTTTCAGGCTGGGATGAGGCAAACATTCTAAACTTGATTGTGCTGGTAGCTGCACAACTTTGAGAATATACCCCAAACCACTGAATTGGCACATTTATGTTTATTTTTGGTTTTTTGATTTTTTTTTTTTTTTTGGTACTGGGGATTGAACTCGGGACCTTGTGCTTGTGAGACAGGCACTGGAACCACTGAGCTAAATCCCCAGCTCTATTTTTGGTTTTTGAGACAGGGTCTCACTACGTAGTTCAGGCTGGCCTTGAACTCATGCCAATCCTCCTGCCTCAGCCTGGGATGACAGGCGTTTGCCACCACACTTGACTTGGCACATTTAAAAGAGATGAATATTATGTCAGTTATTTCTCAATAAAAATTTATCAAAATTATTCTTACTAAAGTGCTGGGGCAGGGGGCAATACTGACC